GCTCAGGGTTTAGGGTTTGGAATTTAGGGTTTAGGGTCTGGGGTTAAGTTCTGTTCAGGGCTTAGGGCGTTTTGACCACTGACCGCAAACCCTTACCTTTTGCCTGTCAATGGGGGTTGTAACAAAAATGGCGGAGATTCCTTTAAAGCCTATGTGGCTCAGTTCTGACACAGCCAAAACCCCCTAATAGTGTGTCCACCTTGCCGCAGCTCTTAATGATTGTGATTCAAACGGTAAGTCTTGAAGCTAAACGCTAATCCCTAAATCCTAATCCCTAGACCCAGGAGCCCTAAACCTTAATCCCTATTAATTAGCTCAAGAGCCACATATCAAGCAGTTGGGAAGCGCATGGCAGCCGTAAAGCCCAGGAGGGTAAACCCTAGTCCCTAAACCCACCGCGACCCCTGAGTCCTAAACCGCATCAGCCTGCCAGGAGGCAAGGAAGGTTTGCGAGAAGGCGTTGACGATACAGCCAAGAGCGCTGCTTCCGCTGAGGATGCATCTTGCCTCGCCTGGTCGGCTATCTTCAAGGGTTTAGGGTTTCGGGATTCAGAAGTTTATGGGTTACTTAGGGCATTAAGCACAGAATGGAATATCACATGGAAAAGCTAAGCAACAATGTAGGGGTTTGTAAGGATGATCATATATGGAGTATAGTTGGATTGCAGAAATTTAATGGAAAAACCTTTGAAATATCCCATCATGCGTAACTTACGTGTCCTTCTAAAGTCCCTTGAAAAATTCAGAAACACTGCAAAGGAATGATAATCTTCTCTCATCCCCATACCATTTAAAATTACAAATGAGACTCCCACCCACCCACACCCGCGGGAGGGAGGGGAAGACCTCAATCACGTCTTTTCATCCCACCAAACCCCAACTACACCCACACAGAAGGAGGGCCACCCCCAACCACACGTACAGCCCCCAAGCACGGCCACCCACAGTGGAGGAGGAGGCCTAGACCACAGGGGGGCTGGGAGGGCCAGCAAGCGTGACCATAACAAGGGCTTGGGCAGTTTGAGGTGCCGGTGAGGTAATATGGGTAAGGGAAGATGGAAACTACCTATTAGATTGTTGGGGGTTCCATACAGGCTACTATACAGATCTCTTGATCCAAGCCTGCCTTCCTAACTAACGGCCAGTAAGCCCTACACCAGCAGAATTCGGTGCGCTCTGAGACCATTCTTCTACAGTAATCCTCAGAGAACACTATCTGGACATGGTTTATTTACTAGGAAGCATAGGTAGGCTTCATGGTTCAGAAATGTCCACTTTGTGACTAAAGTATGCCTGCAAAATCATTCTAGCTTTTGCCCTTTTGCAACAGGCCTTGCTGTGCTCTGCTTGGACAATCTAAACCCTAAAACTTAAGCTGGCAAACAGGACCCCGGTTTTGCAACCACTGAGTCAGAGTCATCCAGTTCTGATCTCCCCGTAATGATAAGAAGCCCCTCCTATTTCGGGCGCTTGTCGTCGGACGAGGGCGCACTATGACATACTTCGGGAAAATGATTGCAAAACAAATCTTCTTTACGGGCCTACTCGTCCTACCCGTGCTTCAGCAGACACCGAAAGAACAAGGGTAAAAGAACCCCAAAATTCCGTTTAAGCTAGTTCCCCTATTTTGACAGGACCATTCCAAGTTGGGCGGATTTGCGGCTGATATTCCAGTGTTTGCTAGAGGCCGAAATGTGTGGTGGCCGCAAGCCAGCTTGACCCCGACCTCTAAGTCTCTAAGTAGCGCCGGGAACTCCAAGCAAGTCACAGAACCCTTGTCAGACTGTGCAGGTCGTGCCTGACAAGCTAGAAGCCCATGACCAAAAGTACACTTACCCCTAAGTTCCTCAAACCTGTCAGACCCGAAACCCCAAAATTGGTGTTGAGTTGAGAATGGAGGCGCCGAGCTGTCCCGATATTGGTTTCTACAAGACATTCCTGCATACTGACCTCTAAGGTTTGGCCCTTCACCCTGAAACTCTCAAACCCCAAACCCCAAAACTGTCATCCTAAAACCCTCAAGCCCTGAAACCCTAAAGCCTGAAACCCTCAGCCCTAAAACGTCCTTGAACCCTTAATCCGAAACTAGTTCATCATGTCTCTTACTGTGGTACAAGGGACCCTGTTTTATAAACAGCTTGGGCGGCCTAAACCCTAAACCTTGAACTGCGCCCAGGCTCTGCTCCCTGCTCATGAAGCAAGGACATCAAGGCCAGACTCGGCTCGGCCAGACTTGAGTCACTTTGGGTCAATGCAGGGTCGAGGGTGGGGGGGGAGTTGCTTGCGGTTTAGGGTTTATATGGGGATTATATGGGCATTTCATATGAATACATACATACATATATATATATATCATGCATACGGGTCACAGAGACACTTGGTGGAACAAATCCATGCACAAAAACTTGTTCTCCATCTTCCTGATGTCCCTAACCTTCATTAAACCTTAAACCTGCTTTTGGCATTCTCATTATCACCTTAGGGGACAGAAGGTGGACGTGATGCTAGTGTACCCCAAGCCATTAAGCCCTAAACCCTAAAATGCAGGGAGGTGACTGCCTGCACTGTGTGCGGGTATGATTTGGGTTAGGCCCCCACCCACTAATGGTGGTATGCTGGGAATTTATAGAGACCCTGCTAGAATTACTAGTATGATCTGACTTGTTGGACGTTGGACTATTTCTAGTACGTTTTTATAGAGCTTTGCGTGTCTCTCTGCTGTGTTTTCCACCCGTTGTCATCTGACCTTGCTTGTCGCGTTAGGAAGGTATGTGGGTAACTGCCTGCCCAAGCTCGGCGTTTTCATCTATTCCTGCACTGTGGAAAATGAGGAGAGCGTGTACATGATGCAGACAGCTTGGTGGTAGTTGGGACAAGTTATTCAAGCAGTGGCCTTTGCACGCAGGAATAGCCACGCCTGGATTTCATCCGGTTCTGATAGCCGTGGCTAGTGGACTTGCAGTTTTTGTTGCAAACATGCCCCCTGTAATCACTCCATATTTTAGGTCCTTTTCTGGCGCTTTTCAAGGCACGAAGTGGCCTTCAAATCAACTAAGGAGGAATACCAGAATCCCAAACACAGACGTAGATTGTTAGCCATTATTCTTCATAAACTCGCAACAAGAACACACTCTGAGTCGGCTTAGCCATTCAAAACACTACTCGGATGTTGTTGAAAAGGCACGCTGCATCTGCCACCTGAAGGTTCTTTTAGCGGTCAGGGTTAGGGTCCTGCCGCGAGCTGGGTTGCTGTCAAGGAATTCAATTACATATATGTATATATATAAGAATATATATGTGTCTAGTGCAGCATAGGCTTTCCCTGCTGTAGCATCTTAATTAGAACTCCTTAACCGAAAGATCATTCTGCAGCTTAAGACGTCTTCCAAAAGGGATTGCCAAACCTCATGTGACGCATTTCACCTAAAGCCCGAAACCTCAAACCCCTACTAACCCTAAATCCCAAACCCCTGCGTAGGTGAGGCCATAAAGCGCCTCAAAGGACGAGGGCTTCGGAACTGCAACACGCATAGCTCACTTGGAGGGCCAGGGGAATTTACTAAACCGCAGGGAAAACGGAAACTACAAAGTTGTTTCGGATTCAGGGTGTAGGCTTGGGGTTTAGGGTCAGGCGGGTCTAGTGAGTAGGTCGATAATGGAGACACCTAGGCTTTCTTGATAAGTATTCTTACTGATGCCCTTGACTCTCCAAGTGTCGGGGGGTCATTATTTTTGCGTATACTTACAGAGATTTTGGGACTGGGTGGAGAGGGTTCGATGGGGGTAACGTAGGGACATATGTGGCGGTCATATCCCATCCCCATGTCCAACTAACCCTGAGTAAGGGTAAGAAACCAGCCTAAACCCTGAACCCTCAACCCTAGCTTTTAAAGTGCAACCCGCCTTTTGATTAAGGTTGGTCATCCTCTGCTAGCACCAGGGACAAGCTAAGTTAGACTAGGTTCTCTACATGAGATATAGTCTAAACTCCTTAAAGGGGGATATATGGGGGAGCCTTATCTATAGCTCACATGTTACTAAACCACTACTGGTGAGTGTAGGACGTATACAGTTTAGGACTTATACGTTCTAGGTTCGGCTCGCTGGCGAAAGGAGTTAAGATTCAGAGCAAGGTTTAAAACAAGCGACGAAAATATTACATACCCTAGAACTTAAAAATACCTCGGGCCCCTTCCCTGCCAACTCAAGGGTGAGACAGAGCTTCTGAAGTTTATCATGAACCGCGATTAGACTGGAGCATCCTGGTATCTGAATACTCAAAATTAGCATCCTAAAGCCCGGTAGCCATCATATGATACTTATACTTGACAGGCTTCAATCAGGATCCACATATCTGACGGCCCGCTTTAGACAAAAGCCAATGTCCGGATTTTTGGTACAACGCGTCCCCCAGACAAACGCCGATTCAATCCAATAGATCCACGCGTTGAGATTCTGAAATTGTTTAAGGGCTTTGAGCAACCAATGTCAGGAGTTGAGTGGGCTTGATTCATTGATGCCTTTTTCTCGGAGGGCATTGGCACGTCCAAGACTTGCCGAGAATACTGCCAGACCCCCACCCCGAATCTTCAATTTTCTTGGGAAAGGCACACGCGCGCATTAAGAGACATTTTTGATATCAGGGGTAGTGGTGTGCTGTGCACAAGGGGAAGCGGGGAACGATCCAGGTATTGCAAAGCCTAAGTGCGTTCCGAAAATTCTGCGCCAGCGAGCCATCTATGAACAGGGCAAAGTATAATCATCTTGTGGCGAAGGGGAGGGATCCCAAAAGCAGTTTTCATTGGCCCTGCCAGCAGAGCAATTTATATGTTGTCTCAACGTCTCAACGGTATATTTCAGGTGGACCCCCACTCAGTAATGGTGACCAGAAGGGATGATGGTGATTATATTCAGGCCCTCTTGTATTCCCCTCATGCTATTACAGAGTGGGGGACCGCGTAACATGTACTGCTGCTTAGTTCCGGGGTGGCCTGAAGCACCTACACCTTGAGCCCGAAACCGGGCGTCCGGAGTCTACTGGGAAGGGTGTTGCTTTTCTTGCTCCGCGATAGGGTGTTTGGGGTTTATGTAGGGTTTAGGGCTTATATAGGGTTTAGGGTTAGTTAGGGGGCCTTACCTGTGCTGTTGCTGTGGGTCAAAGTCTCGGAGCGCCGCAGAAGTCTAATTTTCACCTCCTCTTTTTCGTAATACGGGGTTTTCGGTTTTCATGAATAAGTGGACCCAATATAGTATGGTCTTTTGGGAACCCTAAGCACTACCCTGGACGCGGTTTATCCCCTCCGCCAGGAATTTCTCAGAAAAGGCCATTTAAATGTTCCCACTGTGGTATATACAATATCTTGGGAATCATTATGTTTTTGAGGGCGTACGGGGCTTCAATTCTTGGGAGAAGGGATGGGCAGTTGAAGAGATGCAGGAGAGAAGAAGACCGTTGGACAGTGAGTCGTCAGGACTTGGCGGTAGATGCGGGTGCTGCACCATCATTCTGGTACGTAACCTCAACAACCAAAGTCACGACCCTATTGTAGTCATATGATAGTGATGGGGTCCTAACCCTGGGGGATGCAGTTGACAACATCTTCTTAGCTAACATGAAACCTCGAAAGCTTTGGAGACCACAGTCTGTTTTGAAGGGCTTCTTCCCGCCAAACTAACTTGGACCCCAATTGGGCCCATTTTAAACGGACACCAGTCTACAAGGGCCCCCGTTTCAGATTCCATGTAGTTTCAGTTTTTGTCTGGGGAGTGTGATGGGTTCCATGTTTTGGGCAGGGCGGGTTTAGAGTCACATCAGCACCCACCTACCCCACGACAGGAGAAGGCAAAGGTAGTGTGAGTCAGCAAAGACAAATTGGCCAACTTCCTGCCTAGACCCTTCATATACCATCTATTTAGGCCGAAGTACTGACTACTAGGGGCCATATGAGCTACAGTCTAAGCTCCTTGAAGAGGATTGGAGGTTCCTGGTAGATCCTTGCCGAACTGCACTTCTGGCAAGTTATTCTGGGTTGAAAAGTGGGATGACCAGCGCACCATCAGTTGAAAGCACACATTTGACGGCCGTGTGCAATGATGCAGCATGTGTGGGTAGCTGTGGTAGGTAGACATCCGTGCTCAGGAGAAGCGACAAGCGGTTGCTGGAATACAGCTCGTCTGGGCTTCGAGAGGGCTGACAGCAACTGTCGCAAAGATGTCACCTAGTGCCCACATACGCTTTTAGACTGGAAGGTCCACACGTTAACGCTTGTTAATTACAGCTTATGTTGTCACAAGAACTGCTACACTCTTTTCAATTGACAGCACAAGATCATCCAAAGGGGCGGTGACGGACCGTTCTCGGGTATGTACAGGCTAGAACCGTGACTGGGCGAATGGTGGCCTTGCGCAAAGAGGCACGCAAAAAGACGGATTTGATCAGAGGGCTTGCCCATTTTGTACACTTCCTACGGTTTAGATTTGGCAATTAATATATTGTCCCAGCATCCTGAGCCCTGAACCCTAAGGTCTTGGTATTGGTATACTATAGTTACTATAGGCCATGTAGGATGTTTAACATCAAGCTGAGGTTGGAGCTGGGTTGGGGGTCCTCTTCCAGCACCAAAATTCGCGAGAACGACACCCCTGATCCTTTCAACCTCTTCGGTTTAAGGTTCAGGGTCTAGGGGCGGTTTAGGGTTTAGGGGCTTTGAGGGTTTAGGGTATGGGCCTTTAGCTTTGCCGTGGCGGAAGAGGGGCGCCTGCCCTTCGCAGCATGAACGGGGTAAAGAGACCCAAATGCAATCCATATTGGGAGCCCATACTTGGATCTAGAACATGACCCTAGGATGGCTCGGGGTGCCCTTGCTGAAGAGACACAAACATCGCTAAACTTTAAAACGTCTAAACGTGCTATTTTTTCGGGAGAACCCCGTTTTGACATTTGCTTTCTCCCCATGCGGTGTCTACTTGAGGGACAATAGGCTTAAATCTTCTCCCCATATTGCACTCAGCGACACCATGGTACAAGGGAATGGAGGAATCGAGGAGAAAACAAAATGGAATTGTAAGCAGAAAGGCTCGAAAATCCAGTTGTAGTGCCCGAATGTTATCCCTATACCCAGACCCCAGGGAGGATCCAAAACTCAGGATGTCAGGTTTCGGATACCGATACCCCAAACATTTCTAGGATCTGACTCTAGGGCATCTTGTAACCTTTAGACCTCTCTGGGCATACCCGAAACCCTAAGCCGCTTTTGAGAAGCAGCCCCAGGCTTGACCCTCACTGGAAGTTTGATTGTGAGATGGCCTCCATGGCCGCGCCCCCTATTTCACGGCTTTTCGCGGTTGAGAATGTAGGGGGGTCACATTCATAAACCCTAGACCCAAAGTTGTATAGAGAGATAGAGGTATGGATATACCAGGAATGTTGGCATATATCGGGTTCACGGATTAGGGTTCACGGGTTAGGGTTGAGGATTGGGGTGCTTGAAGTTAGAGGCACTAGCGGTTTATGGCCAAGGCTCCAGGTTTACAATTTAATGTTTTGGGTATACGCTTAAGGGCCACAGCTCACGGTTTAGGATCCAAGCGTCAGGTTTTAGGGTGTCGCTTTGCCAAAAGGGCCGAATATGGCTGAAACACTTAAGTGTATAGTGGTCCTGGATGCCGGGTATAGTGAGGGCATAGGATTCCTGAAATAAAGCTCAACATGATCTTGGTCTTGGGAATTATTAAGGCCGTACATTATTAAGGCCGTACATTATACTTATACTTTACCGCCATATTATGGCATGGGGTACCTGAAATACACCTCAAACCAATATTGGTTATTATGGCCTCCATCTTCCTGGTGAAGGGTGGACCTGCTTAGGGTTTGCATGGGGTTATGAAAAGGGCTATATGGGGGCTCTATTTCGGGTGTGGGTGTTTCGCTCCGAACATGGGTACCCTCCTCCAAATGAGCATTCGCCCCAGCTCGGCCCCTTTGTAGATGAGCGGTAATCCTGTTGACAATTGTATACTGTAATACCATCTTTGCAAAGGTACTTAATTATGCAAGACTTTTAGGAATAACTGTATTTGTCGGGCACCTTTCGGTCTCCAGATAAGCTCGGGGGACGGAAACTCGCGGCGCCCCGTTTTGGCATGCGTGGATCTTCTCCCTGCTGCTTGGAATTCAATGGGACTGGGTTTCAGCCATGGTTTGAGACATTCTATGGGGACTTCTGCTGCTACTGTTGCTCTACTAATACCACCACCACCACCGCCGCCACCGTGACCGCCACCGCCACCGCCACCCCCACCCCCACCCCCACCCCCACCCCCACCCCCACCCCCACCACCACCACCACCACCACCACCCCACCACCACCACC